TTTATGTAAATGTAAAAATATTATAAAAACTATGTCATTTTCCAAAACATTTATTACAATGATTTCATTTTAATGCTAGTAACTAACATAAACTTAATTTTCATTTAATACATTGACTGCTAACTATAAATTACTTCATTGTTGGATATTTGGCCTGGGAAGCCTACTAAGAAGTTTATCTTATACTTAAGAAATATACTTTTTGTTCTTGTTACCTTCGATGAGTTTTCTTGTACCATATACAGTCCAGAAATCAAATATTAGTTAAAATCTAAGAAAAAAAAATGGTTCAAGTAACTTAATATTTTTGATCAGATTCATTGAATATATTTTGTTAATACAATATATAAAAATAATTCAAAATTATTAGACATTTAGACTTCTTTTTTATCAAATTTATTTTGTTTTAATATAAAATAATATTTATTTTCCTTCAAAAGCTGATAGTCTAAAATAGTTTTTAAATGTATAATGTGATATTTCATTTATGTAAAATTGAAACATTTTATATATTTATATATTTTTAATATTATTATTTCTATATTTTTCATAATATTATCAATATTTCAGTGCCTCTTCTAATAAAAGTGCACTTAATGCACATCAAAGATATGAAGAAAAGAAAGTGCAAGAGAAAAAATATAAGTTATTAAATATATCTTTCCGTAAACCAGTTGCAAAAGGTACATTTATATAAATTTTATATAAATTTATAATGTACATGTTATTTAATATATGATAAAAATGTATTGAATTATTATGCACATCATTATTATTTGAAAAATTGTAATTTTTATTATAGTACAAGGGTACCAAGAATTACTTTATGAATTAACAAAAGATAATCCAGATCTTGAAAAAGTAAAAGCAGATAATCGTGACTTAATATCCATGATTGCTAAAACACCAGTAGAAAGAGATGTTAGGAAATGTATGCATTCATTTATAATTGAAATACTTCAGAATAAAGATGTGAAAAGAATAGAAGAACTTTCAGAGATCACACAAAATTTTTATCAAGTATTTGCTAAACGTTTAGAAAATAGTACTAAATATGCAGGTATTTTAAAAATAAATTCTAATTATATTAATTTAATAAAAACGTAAGATGAACATCAAAAATTTATTATTTTAGGTATAACACCAGAAGTTAAAGAAAAATTATTAGATTATGTAGAAAGATATGCAGTGACTTTACTCTACAGAATTCTTTTTTGTCCACCTTTCACAAGCGACGAGGAAAAAGATTTAGCAATACAAAAAAGGTATGTTTTATTTATAAATTAAAATTAATGACATTTTAAATTAATATATAAATAACATTTTGTTACAGAATTCGACAATTGAATTGGGTTAGTGGAAAAAATTTGGAATGTCGAATACATGAAACCAGTTCTGAAGTTAGAGAACTAGTTTATACTTCCATAACTGGTGTGTACTTAAAAAATTTAATGAATTATATCAATTTATAATTTTCTAAATTATTAGATGTAAGAATTATTTGAAAATAAATATTAATTTGTTGCAGATTTGTTAAACATGGATTCTGCAAAAGCTCCACAAGAAAAACTTTCTTGTGTTATTTATTGTTGTCGAAATATATTTCTAATGTTACAACAGTCAGTTGGTGGACCTGCATCTGCAGATGAATTTCTTCCTGCCTTAATTTTCATCGTTCTGAAAGCTAATCCTGCTCGCCTTAAAAGTAACATCAATTTTATTACTAGGTTTTGTAATGCAAGCAGATTAATGACAGGGGAAGGTGGATATTATTTCACAAATCTGGTAATATTTATTGTAATATTCATCAAAGATATACTTTTAAATTATTATTCCTATTTTTATCAATTAGTTATTAAATTTAGTTATTAAATAAAGAAACAAAATTATTATATGAAATCTAAATTAATGAAAAAGATGTAATATAAGAAAGAATATTTAATGTTTCAGTGTTGTGCTGTATCTTTTATTGAAAATTTGACAGCTGAATCATTAAATATGGATGAAAAAGATTTTAATGCTTATATGTCTGGAGAACGTGTACCTGCTAATACATGGGAATCAGCTTTAATGATATGTGAGGTACATATTATATTTTTCTTTTATAATTTTAATTAATAATTAGATATTTTTCATATCATTTATTTTAATATTTATGCAGAGTCTGCACTTAATGTGCGAAGACATAACTCTTCTGGATGAAATGAAAGCTAAAACTACAGACATAATGAATGAAGCATTAAGTTTAAAAGAAAAGATGTTACAATTTCAGGAAGAAATGAAGTCAGAAGTAAATACAGTTTTGGACAGAACTCCGTTATTAATTACACACAGTCAAAGATTGCCTACTAATTTAGATTGTGAAGATATTGAAAGTTATCAATTACCACCTCCAATTATTCCACAAGTAAGTTATTTTTTAGAATTGATATATTCATTAGCAGCAGTTACTTGTAACAACAAATTGCAGGTTTGTCCTACTACAATTAATAATTCTACACCACAAAACGATGTGAGAACGTCTTTAATAGAAGATTGCATTACACCATCTCCCACCTTTGACTTTCCTTCTTTCATTGGTGATGATAGTTTTGATGTAAGCAAAGCAGAGGATGAAACTAGTCTTATAAGTTTAGATACACAGAGTGACTTTGATACACAACAGGAAAGATCCACCAATGAATTACTAGTATCTACACATTTGAATTTACCATGTTCTACAGAATCAGAACAAGAAGATTATCATGGATTCACTGTTCAAGGTTCAAATATACCTACAATTCCTTGTAGTACTGGAGATTTATCTTTGAATTCTTCTGAATTGGATTGTGAAAATTATACAGGTTACTTTCATAATGTATAAAAAGAGTGAGTTTAAAAAAAATGTTGCTTAATTCCTATAAATAAATTATACAAAAGTATTACATAAAACATCATGTTAAGATATAATATAAATTACTTAAATTATTTTAATTCTGCAAATCTGCTCTAATAAAGAATGAAGAAAAATTTGTAAGAACAAATTTTTAAATTAATTAGATTATACACTTACACATATTGTATAAATGTAATGTTTATTTAAAGTAAATATCATATGAATTATTATAATAAGTAATCCGATATCCAATAATTCGACACGGATAGCCTTAATCATGACTATACCTTATTAATATTATTTGGAAATCATTGGAATTTACAGGTTTTGCAATTTTAAATTCATCCTTTTGCAAATCAAGTATTTTTACATAAATATTTTATTTAAAAAAACATCAAATATAAATTAGCCAGTAAGAAAATAAAAATTTCATTAAAAAGAGGTATATTAAATATTTATTTAAAAGTAATTACCAATTCATTGAGGTTCATATATATTGCGTACAAGGCATAGGAGATTTATGATCTTGTTGTTCAGACAAGACACACTTTACTTTTTCTACCATTATATTCTTCAATAATGAACCTTATCAATGAAGTCTTTTCTAAAATCAAATTTTGTGCGAGATATATGTTAGCTGTTCCTTAAAATCGTGAATATTTGGTAAATGTAATTAATAACATTTTTAATTTCTTACTGGCTAATTTGTATTTGATGCTTTTGTAAATAAAATATTTGTGTAGAAGTACTTGATTTGCAAAAGGGTGAATTTGATTTGCAAAAGGATGAATTTAAAGTGCAAAACCTGTATACTTCATATGAATGAAGAAATTGTAATCTCATATATTAAGTAACAGTATCGAATTTAGACAGTTGAGCAATAAATTGCATTACTATATTAACTATAATATTTTTTTTAAATATTTATTTCGTTTTTATCTTCTTTGAGGTGTAGTCTAATAATTCAACATATTTAATAATCTATTACTGTCGAAATTTTACGTATGCCGGATTACCGGAATTTCACTGTAATTTAGATTAATTTAATTAAATAACTTGTACATTTATGAAATGATAAAATAATATTTAATTCAGTTGTTATATAATTATTATTTTTAAATATTTTACAATGTTTTAATTTAAAGATAGCTGTAATTATAAATAAATTTATCTAACAAATACCTATAATTCAAACTTAGTATCTAAAGCTTTTCCAATATAAATACAGGGGAAGTAAATTATCTCTTTTTTGTAATTTTGCATTAAAGATGTCAAAGTCTGCTTTCATCAATTCATTCAAATATCTTTGTATACAAACTATTGGTAGAAAAATTAAATTTGCTTCTTTTGTCACGTTGCGTTTAAAAGAAATAGCCTAAAATAACAAGCCTTTTACATAATCTTTTCTAGTTCTGTTTTTAACATATACTTACAGCATCTAAATGTAATTTTCCACACGATGCTATGTCAAATATTACATTTTGAAAATCTTTACTCGATTGACCCTGTAAGATAGCTTCTGTAGAAATATTATATTTCATTAAAATATCTTGTGGTAACATATTTGTCCTTTTCCTGATATTATAAGGAATTGAACGAATTAAATTAACAATTCCATGTGCCTTGCCCATATGACTAGCAGCATGATCAGCATTAATATCAGTTATACCATGTGCTTGTAATAAAAGGTAATAAATAGAAGAATTACTATATTCTGCATAATTTTCTATTGCATTTATGTCATTAAATGCATAATCTCGTAGCGTATTAAACCTTATATCAATTAAACGTTTGAAATAATGTTTAGAAAGAGAATGTTTCTGCAAAATCTGCAAAGAATTTTCTTAAAGTTATAATTTTTAGTTAATGTGGAACTACAAGCAACTATTAACATTAGAAACAAGACTCATACCTTATGTAATTCCAACATAACAGGACTCTTTGGAGGATTTCCTTTATATGTATTGTTTAATGCATCTGTCCAAAATTTTAATCTCATTTCTCCTATTTTATAATCACGAACTTGATCTTTTACTTGTGCTATTTCAACATTAAATGCACGGATTACAAATGCCGCTGCTGTAATTTTACTTGATAATAATAATGTACACAAATAATTTTCATAATCATGTTTTCTGAAAGATAATAACAATATAAAAAATAAAAATTTATTTATAATTCCTTATTTATTTCATTTGTTTATTTATTAATTATTTTATGATATAAACACAAATTTCATTTTTTCAAAAATGTATATTAATAATAATTAGATATCATTTTTTCATGTATTTAATCACTAATTTATATAACAATAAATGATATTAAAAATAATCATAACTTCCAATTATTATATTCTATATCAATAAATGTGAAATACCTAACTAATTCTAAACAGTAAGCAGTCGTCGTTTGTTTTGTAGTTCCACTCGAATTTCTTAAAATTTGCAAAAACACGTTTTGTTTAAAATAAAAATTTCTGTACATAACTAAGTTAGTAGACATGTTCAGTGCCAACAAGTGTACCATCTCAGATAAAATTAAACTAATAAAAATGTGTAATTAATAATTATTAGTTGTCGATATAAGTGAATTTAATACTACAGTATATTAAGGTATGTTGTGACTATAAATTTATTACAATTATTTATAATACGTTATGGATTTAAAATTTGTTTGAACATTACTTATTATTAAATCATGTATATTTTAAAACAAATAATAATGTTTATAAAATACAATATATACATTTCAATACAATATTACAACTTAATATATTTATTTTGAAAACAAGCACTTGAAACATTAACCTCTATAAACAACTTTGATACTAAGTTATTGTAATTAATAAATTAATGACTTTTCGTTGTTTTATTTGTATCGAATTTTGATTAAAAGATAGGAACTAATATATACATTTTTGATATAAAACAGTTTATTAACAAAGAATGTGTTTACACAAATTAGAGCAAGAAGTAATAATGATGTACAGAACTATTATAATTGAAAAAAATTGAACTTTAATTTAGATATTAGAGATACAAAAGAACTATCTTTTGTATAAACAGTGTGATATACTTTTTAAATTATAAGATAAAATATTTGTTTATGGTTAAGAATATATACTTATATTTTAAATTAATATTGATTTTATATATTCATCTGCATTTTTATATGGTTGATTTTTGATTATTTGAAAAAATCCTTTACATCAAAATTTTTCATTGATTTTATAGTAAGATTTAATTATAAATATCCCATAATGCTATGTATCCATCTTTTGCAGCTGTAGCCATTATAAATTTGTTATCATATGCTTTTATTCTTTGTGTAGAATAACTAATATCATGTACAGTATCTTTATGTTGATTTAAAACAGCTAATGGTTTTAAACTTTTCCAAGAAAATATTCTAACTCGACTATCCCATCCTCCAACTGCCATTATTTTAGCATCAGATCTAATTGTTATTACAGAAGTGCCAGGATTTATCAGAGTTATTTTATTCTTATTTTGCAATAAATGATTAACTGATAAATTAAATATCTAAAAATTAAAAATTTATATTGTTGTAAGAAAAAGTAATTCTAATTAGTTTTTTATTTATAAAAGTATCTAGTGAAAATAAATATTTTTCTACTTATTTAGCTTTTGCTCTTTATGTTTATTTTTTAATCTTTACCTGTATATTATTAGTAGGACCTGCAACAGCACCTTTCAATAAAGTAGTATCAAAATCTAATGCCATTGGACATGTTTCTATTGTTAGACAATTTAATATTCTACATTGTCGAATATCCCATAGGATTAATTTTCCTGCTTCATAACCAACCAAAACTAGTTTTTCATTTTTCAGTGGTTTAATAGTCATTACTTCTCCCAGATTTTTAAAATCTGGAGAATTCAATTTCAATTCTATGTTAAAATTATTCGTAGATAATATTCCAACACTGGATTCTTTAAGTGGTAAACATATTTCATTTTCAGAAAATACTTGAAACCTGTTATGAATATTTAAAATAATTACATATTGGTTGATAAAAATCAATTAAAGAGATTAAAATTAATTTTATTATAATATATTTTATATATTATAGTTTTCCATAAAATATTATGCTTAATATTTCATGTGTACCTGCAATAGTGATAAAAATCTATATTAATGAATTTATGCATAGTCCATTGAGATTCTGTTTTTTTATATACTTTTATTAAACCAGATTTATGTTGTACAAACAAGTTATTATTTAAACTTTGTAAATTTAAGCAAGAATCCTGTTCTGATGTAATTCGACATAGTTCTCTATTTGTCTTTAGCGTAAAAAAATTATATTAGAAAATTTAATATATTTAATTTTATATTCTATTATAAAAATGGAAAATGTTTAATAAAATATGAAAGATGTATTAAAGTGTTTTATTTACATTTAAATCCCAAATGTGAACATTGCCTTTAGCAGTGCCTGCATAAAGATGTTCTATGTTAGATGTTATTTGGAAAAGAATACAGTGTATACAACCCATTTCACCGCGAAAAAGATATTTTGGATCCGGAGGAAGTATTGCCATTAAAATAAATTTTGTATAAATTCACTATTATATGATGTAACGTAAATAAATATTTTTTTTATTTGCTTTTATTTACGAATATGTATGAAAACACAAATTATCAGCACAATTGTCAACAAGGAATACTTTTAAACGTAAAAATGTTCATATCCTTATTACTCAAACTCTTATATTCTAAAATTGATATGTATCTCGAAAAAATTAACTATATATTACATTAATAGTTTAGTTATTTATTATATTAACAATAGATTACACGATTATTACAAATTACTAAATTAAGTTGAAATTTAATGATTTAAAAAATTATTTATATAGGTTATAAAATTAATACGTATATACACAATATATAAATGCAAACAGAATCAGCATGGTTGTACTGACATAAGTATATAGTGACAAATGTAAAAATCCTAGGATGTTCTGCTTTACGCATGATTGACTGCAGGTTGTGCTCGATTGTCACCAGGGTTACCACGAAAAGGAACCACACTAAATGTAGAGGTTAGCCATCTTGTTAGATCCATAACATTAGTCGCTTGAGCGAAGTGTTAATTGTCTTCAGATAGAATTAGTCTAACAGTCAAACGGTTAGTGCGTACTAGAGAAATATTACCAAAATAGAAATACAGTTTTTTTTTCTTTTCTTATTATTTCTTTATATTTGCAACTGATCAGATGGATTATTTAGCAAATGGAATGAATGTTAATTGGTCGTGGGAAAAGGTATTGACCTTTAGTGGGTATACAAAATTGTATTGCATAAAATTCTTATTTTCATAGTCTTAGTTTTATCATATTCATAGTAAAGAAATATTATTTTTAATAAAGAATTAAGAATTCTATTGAAAAATGAGTATTTAAATATTTATATTAAACAAATTTTTCTTAAATTTAATAAAATTATACTTGCTGTAAGAATTGATGATCTTAACCTTGAAAAGTCTGTGTCTTTGAGCTAAGCTCTTTGCTTATAAAGAAAAAAATTCAGTAATGCTTTGTAGCTTTATTTTCAAGGGAATAATTCAATGTATGTATATATTTAGCACATGCATAATACAAGCATACTTAAATTTTTCAAAATATAATTAAAAAGATCATTATAATTATTAACTGTTTCTTGTTTAAAATAAACAAAAATATGAAGTATTTGTCTCATCTGAATTCATGTTGCAAATAAGTAAATAATAAATATAAAAAAGTAATATATATAGATAATATAAATAATAAGATCGCTCTACTGGAAGAGAAGCATCTAGTTGATGACTGTTGCGTAAAACTGTCAGACGTGTAGAACGTTTCCGTAATTTTCAACGGGAAAATAGGAAAAAAGGACTAGGAGTGGTAAATAACATCGTCCGTATTCCGCGTCCCGCATTTGTTGATTTCAAGAATGTGTTATAGGGGTGCAGATATGTTGTTTTACATAGGTTATGTGAGCGTATGAACCATATTACCTTCACATAAGGAAAATAGGTGAATGATCTGCATGATTTATAGGCATACGGTGTGGTTCAAAATATAATTATATGACATACAATGATTAAGCTAAATAGAAGAATAACAAAAAAATAATGAGAAAAGAGCATAGGAAAATAGGTCGTAATAATTACAATAATATGATAATAGAGATAATATCATAATAACAACGAAGAAAATACATGAAAAGAAAAGTATATTTATAAAAATATAGAAAATACACAAATGTATAAAAAGTGTACAATACAAAATACATAAAAAATACAAAAAATGCATAAAAAATATAAAAAATACATAAATATATAAAAATATAAGGTAGTAAATACATAAAATATAAATAATATAATTTTGATTATTTCCACTCTCCTCACTGTACTTTTACTTCTAAAAAGAATACTATTCAATTCTCATAGTATTTATTCTTTCATGTATATATTATTAAAAGATCTTAACATTTCATTTATTATTTTAAACGTGGTGTAAGTTTTTAAGGTAAAAGTTTACTTTAGCGACTTTTTTTAAAATATTAATTTTTTTCGGTTTTTACAAAAATTGTTCTATTTAATATCGATAAGAAATATAGATAGTAAGAATTTGCAAAAGTAATGTACCTTTATTACCTTTTTGCAGAAAATATAAAATTTAAGAAAACTGCAGAATGCATGAATCGTTCTGGATGATTTCGAAGTATTTTATAGACGGTAACATTCTGAACAAGATTTATTAATTTTCGAGATATTTGCAAAAATTGTTAGTATTACTACATTGAATTTGTAGCGATCATAGGCACGTGCAAGTAATAACATTTGACGTGCAAATGGTCAAGAGGATTTATGGAACGCGCTCATTTACTCCTTTATTAAGGTAAAAAGCAGCCTTCAGGCTTAGTTAATTTTGATCTCAACAGCTTATGCGGGTACCATAAATCCTCGGCTTTTTCAAAAGGCCCGCGCAGGAAAAGTGCAAAAAAGACGCGCAAAATAGAGGGCAGAAAAGTCATCGGAAAGACCCTGGGTTGGTTTAATGAGCGAACAAGACCATTAACCAATCAGGGTGCCTTATTGGTACCTCGAGGCGCTTTCTGGGCCCAGCGAATTCCCTTAGTCTAGTTCGAGCGTTCCAGTAGGAAACTTCGCGATTAAAACAACTTGTACAAATAAAGCCTCAACTTTGGAAACCAAACTAGTATCTTTCAACCCTCGAGGTACTCATATCCTACAAACTCTATGTGTACACAAAGCGCAGTAAACGGAGTGAATTTAGTGGATGATAAAAATCATCTTCTTTTACTGGAATAACCGGCATCAACAGAAAACTAATTTGACGCTACCAATTCCTATGACGTGCTTAATTTATACACTAATAATGAAATGATAGATTTGCTTATAGTAGAAACATATATGCAGAGCAAAAATTTAATAAATTGATAACATTTGAATCTCTCATACAGTCTAGACAGCACGATCTTAAAGCAGTAGTAACCGATATCCTCAATGCAGTGCGTCCTGCCAACTAGCAGAACATAAGAATTTCGCATCTGGGCACACCTAATGGACCTTCCATCAGACCAACCCGAGTAATATTAAAATCACCTGACACTGTGGAACAAATCCTCAGATCGAAATATAAATACTCGGGTCCATGGAAGATCTCAGACGATAAAACTCGACTGCAGCAATCCAACCTGAAGAAACTAAGGAAACAACTTCAAGATTTGTACGACAACGGAGACAATGATTACACTATTAGTTATATTGATGGCATCCTTAAAATTATTCGGGCGTCGTCGGTTCGCAATTGAAAAAACTGAAGAAAAGTTTATCAGTTTATTACTAGAACGTTCGTGATTTAGCACGTTCCGTGCCGCGTGGATCGTATACTTTCCCCCGGTCTCAAAGTCTTCCGCTTTCCTCGACCACTGTCAACATATAAGTGACCTAATTACACAATTTCCTTCGTCTAAATTACTTATTTGCGGTGATTATAATTGTTGCGGCCCTAGGACCGCAATGTCCCAGGTCAAGTGGAGGACTGTTTATATGCCTATTGTCAGTGTCCCTTGACTGGTATACATTCTTCATCACCTCGTCACTACCTGGGTAAACCTTAACAAGGACCAATATATCAACCTTAAGACGATAGGTATAAGGACGCAAATTATTTAAACTTCTACCACCACAGAAGGACGTCGAAGCTATCACACACCTTCAATATTATTAAGAACCAATAGAATGACACACACCCACCTCTTACATCATACACCGACCAATCAATAGATAGACAAAACTTATAAAACCACCGAGACAGCAGTCACGAGAGAGTTCTCTAAAAAATTTCACGGAAACCGGACAATCATCACGATTAGACTATCATCCAGGACCCACCATTAACTCAGCGCAGGAAACAGTCTACTATAGAACTCTCTGTAGTTCAACCATAATCAGACCTAGCTTTATTAATTTTAAGCTTTATTAATTAACTCATTGACTGCCACGCAAATTTAGCGCGTCTTACTCTGGGTGCCACAGTTTTATTTTAAAGAAAACATGAAGTTTTACAAAATATAATAATATTAAGTTACTGATATTATATTGCAATGGCATTTACAGTATTTTTATTGAAAAAAAAAAAAACACTACGAGATAACTCGTAGCTGGCGTCACTGAATAAGACTTCTGTGCTGAGTGCCACTTATCTATCTACTCGTATTATCAAAAAAAACAGTGTTGAATTATATAAGTGGTGATATTTAGAAAGTGGTGCATTAACGTAAGTACATCATATACATAGCTATATAAATTCTAATTTTTGAATAAAAATAAATAACTTATTTCCTCAACCCAGAACAATGGATCGTGAAGAAGAATCAGTATTTTGTGAAGAAGAATTTTCTACCAACGAAGAAAAATTTTCTGAGGGCGATAGCGACATGATTTCGGGAGGAAGTGATACGTGCGAAACCGAGTCAACTTCTGAAAGTGAAGACGAAATACGACCTTTTCCAGCAAAACGACTTCGAAGGATTTAATCAACTTCATCGATTGAGCAGCTTCATAGTCCTGATGATGATGCGGATATATGGACAAGCGATAAAAGTGATCCGCCACAGTTGGAATTTAGAGGAAATCCTGGGTTCATAATTCCAGATGATGTAAAATCGCCAGGAGATTTCTTCCGTCTGTTTTTGACAGAATCTTTATTGAATAAAATTGTGCAAGAAAGCAATCGCTATGCTGCTCCACAAATAGCAAAGTCTCAGGTATTGCGATCATCCCGGCTGCGAAAATGGAAGGATACCAGCGCTAAAGAATTGCATGTATTCTTTAGATTACTAATGCATACCGGTACAATTAGTTTACTCTCCATAGAATATTACTGGAAAACAAGTGAAGGTTATAATTTCGACTTTTGGAAGAAGAGAATGTCTAGAAATTGTTTTCAATTAATTTTGAGATTTCTACACTTTAATAATAATGAAGAACAAGTTGATGGTTGATTATTCAAGATCAATTTAATATCCCAACACTTCAACGAAACTATGGACCGCATCTATAAGTCAGGGAGAAAATTGTGTATTGACGAAGCGATAGTTGTTTGGCGAGGAAGGTTGGTTTTCCGGCAATACATAAAAAACAAACGGCATAAGTATGGCATCAAACTCTATGAACTTTGTGAACCTGATGGAATAATCTTGAGAGTGAAAATTTATGCGGGCAAATATGATGACCTAAGTGGACGAAATCATACTTCAAATGTCATTTTGGCTCTGATGGATGATTTCCTGAATCGTGGCCATGAGCTTTATATGGACAACTACTATAATTCAGTTGGGCTGGCGAAAGATCTCACGAGTAAGTCAACATATGTATGCGGCGCGTTAAGATTCGACCGAAAGGGAAATCCAAAAGATTTGGTAAAAAAGAAACTAAATCGAGGAGATTCTGAATGGTTGAGATCAGGATCCATTGTAGTCAACAAATAGAAAGATAAGCGGGATGTGCTAACTACATCCAACATGCATAAATGCGAAATGGTTCAAGTGAAGAACAAAAATGGAAAAATTTCGACTAAACCAGATATAATCAGAGAGATATAATCATACTTTGGGAATGGCAGGTGTTGATCGCTCTGACCAACGTATGTCGTACTACTCATTCCTCAGGAAAACCGTCCGTTGGTACAAGAAAATTGCACTACACTACTTCGAAATCTTCCTGCAGAATGCATACATGTTCTATAACCAAAGAAATCGAGGGAATAAAAAGATGAAGATGCTTCAATTTAGGGAATCAGTTATTATGCATTTACTTGATGGCGATGGCAGCAATGCAGGAGAAAGCAGCAACTATAGAAATACAACTGATTTTCATTACTTAGAACATCTTCCTCCCACAAAAAAAAAGAGCAGGCCTACAAAGCCATGTCTCGAATGTGTACAAAGGAAAAAAAACGTAAGGAGACTAGGTATTTTTGTCCAGTGTGCCTCAACAACCCAGCACTTTGCGTTCATCCTTGTTTTAAAGTTTACCATACACAGCGACAACAATAAAAATATTTTTTAATTTTAGTAATACATTCATATATATATGTATTAGGTTGGTGCATAAGAAATGTCGGATTTTTTTTACATGCGAACGTTTGTCTCCCTGTTTTCGTTATACTTTTGTTTTTGGCGTAATCTCGTTTATAGTCGTACTGTCCATTGCCAGAATCACATTTCAACAAAGGAGATTTTTTTGAAAGTGTTCCCTTTTGTTATTTGTTTTGAATTTTGTACCGATATGAATTCAACCGATATTCGTGTAATTTTTTTGTATGCGTATAAACTTGGTAATAATGCTGCAAAAGCTGCACGCAACATAAACCAAGCGTTTGGGGAGAATACTGTTAACGATCGAAAAGTGCAGCGTTGGTTTGAAAAATTTCGGTCTGGTGATTTTTCACTACAAAATGATCCGCGTGGAAGATCCAAAACGTCTGTGAAAAATGATGATCTGAAGGCATTGGTGGAAGCGTGGAATACCAACTGTATACACGAGGGAACTTGCTACCAGGATGAAAGTTGACCATACAACAATATTGCGACATCTTTCTGAAATTGGCAAGGTGAAGGAAATGGATAAGTGGGTACAGCACGAACTAACCGAGCGAAATAAGCTGGATCGGTTGAACGTATGCTCATCGTTACTAACCTGATTTCATCGAGAGCCATTTTTTGATCGGATTATTACCTGTGATGAAAAATGGGTTCTTTACGACAACAGGAAAAGGTGTACTCGGTGGCTTGATAGGGATGAGGTTTGTGCTCATACTCCAAGGCTACCACTTCATCCACGGAAGATTTTAATCACAGTTTGGTGGAATGTGACTGGGGTAATTCATTATTCATTCCTTCGAACTGGGGAGACAATTACGGCCGAAAAGTACTGCCAGTACATTGCATGAAGTACATCATGAGATGCATAAAAAATTGAAAATTATACGCCCATCACTTTTTAACACTATTCCTACCAGGACCGATCAAATGACCGTTTTTAAATTTTCAATTGGAATTTCCTACATTCAACGTAAGTGAATCGCCTTTAAACTTTACGACTTTTCCTCATATATATGTATGATACATTTTTCAATATTCACTTATTTTTTTATTGTTTATTTTTTGAGAAATATTTGTAGTCTGTCTTACCTACCACGACCGGTCATTTGACCGGTAGTACGATTTATACATTTTTGTAATAGTTTCTCTCTACGACTCAATGCTAAAACTATAAAGTCGTTACAAACGAAAGGTAATGTAGTTGTGGCACGATTTTATCCGAGAAGTGCCTTCCAGAAAATGGTTTACAGCACTTCCAAGTGTTTACGGTTCTCGCTCGACTACCGGGTTAGCGTTGTTTATTTGCTTGATTGATATCCGATACGGTCCAGATCCTCGAATGTTCTTACGCCATCTTATCTACTATGACGTAAAATAAATAAACTTATAACCGAAGGAAATGTATAGACGTCTTCTCACGAATTCAAATCAGTATAGTCTTGCGACACGAACAGAGTGCATCGAAACGTGAAAGTCACAAAGAGCATACTTGGCAGTCTTTTATTATTATTTTGTAATATTTTATATCGTATTACGTGTTATAAGCGCAATTTTCAAAATAGCGAACAAGACTAATAATACGTCGCAGTAAGTTTCACCTTTTATCTTTTATTCATTTTTTTGTCTATTTTGATTTACATTTTCATATTTTAGTTTTTATTTTCTCCGTTGAATATTTACCCCAAAATGTCAAGACGTTTGAGGAGTGCGAATGTATTATTAGAGAGAATAAATGATATCGATGCAGAATGTTCTGAAGATGATCAGGAAATTCTGGATATGGAAAATGACAATACGGAAAATTATGATCCATTTGAAACCGACTCGAACACCGATGAGAACGAAGAGAATATTTCGAACGTACGTAGACGACGAAAGAGAAGGAGATTTTTAGTTAGTTCCGATAGTGAGAATGAGGAAGAGGCAAGCGAAATTGCGATGGACGGAACTGTTTGGCAGGAAGTAAAAATAGGGTCTAGTCCTGGAAGAGCACCTGGTCATAATATTTTTAGGGAAACATCAGGCCCGACTGGGTACAGTAAACGTAATATTACGAAAGGCGAAGTTAGGACGGCATTTTCTGTGATAATCGATAAGAATATAATCGAACTTATAAGAAAGTGCACAGAGGTAGAGGCATTTAGAGTGTTGGGATATAAATGGGAACTGTCTACTGCAAAGTTATATGCATTTTTTGCAATTATGTATGTACGCGGCGCATACGAGGCTAAGAATATAGATATAGCACTTCTATGGAATAAAAAGTGGGGCCCGCCTTTTTTCTCAAATACTACGAGTAGACACGACTTTACGGAGATTATGAGATTTATTCGATTTGACGACAGAAATCAACGAAGCCAACAGTTACAAACCGATAAATTCGCTATGATTTCCGAAGTTTGGTACAAGTTTATTGACAACAGTCAAAATTGTTATAAACCAGGACCATATATTACTATTGACGAATAATTGTTTCCAACGAAAGCAAGGTGTAGATTCACTCGATACATGCCCAATAAACCGGACAAATTTGGTATAAAATTTTGGTTAGCATCCGATGTACGTAGCAAATATATAATAAACGGCTTTCCATATTTGGGAAAAGATGAAAGTAGAGAACCCTCAGTTCCTCTTGGAGAGTTTGTCACTATGAAATTAGCAGAACCGTATGTAGGATGTGGAAGAAATATAACCACAGACAACTTTTTTACAAGCCTACCTTTAGCAACAAAACTTTTAGCAAAAAAAACTACGATTGTTGGGACAATTAGAGCAAATAGAAAAGAGCTACCAAGACTGGCAAAACTGGAAAACGACGACATGGCACTTTTCTCAACCAAACTCTATCGCTCAAATAATTGTATGTTGACAATTTACAAAGCCAAACCAAGAAAGAAAGTTCTAATTCTCGGTTCAATGCACAACTCCGTACAAGTTGAAGAAAATGACACCCGAACACCGGAGACAATTCAATTGTATAATAGCACCAAATTTGGCGTAGATGTGACCGAACAAATGGCCAGAAATTATTCGGTAAAATTTAAATTTCGGAGATGGACTTTGCAAGTATTTTTTAATATCTTGGATTTAGCCGGGATAAATGCATGGGTGTTATATAAAGAAACTACGGGAGGAGAAATTACAAGACAGGAATTTCTATTCCAATTGGCAGAAGAACTTGCCATCGAATACCAGCAAGAGCTCGGCAAAGAAAATCAACCAATACCCATCGCAAGTACAAATACAGGTTCCCGTGAACGGAAAACATGTCAGATAAGGTATCGTAAAGATAATAAGACGAACAAAATCTGTCTAAAATGTAAAAAGTACGTATGCGGAAAATGTACAGTTGAGAAGCCCATTTGTAAAAAATGCGACGAAAAAGAATAAAATGTAGATTATGTACTCTTGAATAAAAGAAAATATATTTTTATACTGGTAAACTGGCTATTGGTTTGCATTCAATATTGAAAAATATAAGTTGTGAAAGACCGGTCATTTGACCGGCCGCGATAGGAATAGGTATACGTGAAGTGTCAGTAGGAATAGTGTTAATCGGCATGGCCCAGTACTTCTCCATGACAATGCTCGGCCACATGCATCGCACAAAACAATTGCGAAATTAAATGAATTGAAATATGAAGTTTTGCAGCACCCAGCCTATTTATTCATCGGATTTCTCGCCAACCGACTTTCATTTTTTTAAACATTTAGAACTGTTTTTACGGGCTAAACAGTATGAAAATGAAGACAGTTTGAAAAATTCGATATCAAAGTTTATTGATGCTAAAGATCAGAATTTTTTTTAAGACAGGCATCTATGCTTTAAAGTCTCGTTGGGAAAAGTGTATTGAAGCGAATGGAGCATATTTTGATTGAATAAACAGCTTTTGAAAAAAGATATGCAGTTTTATATATTCACTTAAAAATCCGACATTTCATACGCACCAACCTAATAGTATCGTAGGATAATAAACTTGGGTTTGGCTCGAGCGTATTATCTGGAGTGCGTGCGGAAGGATGAATGACGGTGCGCTAGGATCGTGTGGATGAGATGTTTATAGATGTATCGGTTGCAAGTGAAGAGTGTCTAGGAATGCGTCTAAGTGTTTGGGCTACGTGACCCGCTGAGGGCAAGGCTGTAAGGAGTGCGTGAGAAAAGCGTGATTGGGAAAGAGAGCATGGGTACGAAAAAGGACAGAGTGTATAGTTTTAAATAAGGGTGCATGGGCGTGAAGCGGACAGTTCTTTCGTGGAGTTTTTGGGAAGGAGTCTTAGGAGTGATCAGAACAGAGTTGTGTAGAGAAGAGTTATTAGTTGTTTAGTTGTATTTTAGTTGAAACAGGCTGAGTTGTAATTGTGTTGTAGAATTGAGTTGTAGTCTTAAGTTGTAGTTGATATATTAATTCGTATGCTTAATCGTCACCACGTATTGTATTGTTAATCCATTATTATTACTAATAAATGTTAGTATTATTTACCACCTACCATAGTCTCTATTTTTTTCATTTAATCGATATGTGTATATACCTAGCGTTAATTCGATAACTTTTAAATCGTTATCAATCAAACTATAAGAATAACGTTGCAAATAAGTTAGGCCGAACGAAGCCACTTCGCCTTACTAGAAGATACTTCCCCTCACTATATAAAAATGAAAGAACAAAACGAAAGAATCCGTTGCGAAAGTGCGTAAGTATGATCAAAAAATGACAGCAGGAGCGAATCGCGATACCAGTTGCCAGATTTGCGATGTTGGCCTATGTATAATACCATGCTTCGAAAAATATTATACGCAATTACATTACGAAAGGCTATTATAGTCATAAAATTATATTATATTATATAATATTGTAGGAACGGTGAGCGTGGCGTGACTACGGCATAAGATCACCGTCTGTGACAGTTTCCTTTTGTCTAGGTGTGACTGTAAAGCGCTTGAGAACGTTTGGGCTCTTCCGCGAAAATAGAGGATAATAAACAGCGGTCTTGGGTTTGGCTCGAGCGTTCCGAGGGGGAGCAATTAGTTGTACGGAAAATATCTGATTAATCCAATCAAGCCGGGCTCGGCGTTAACCAATCAAGGTGGCTCCCATGTTTTTAGGAAAACTCCTAAGATCAGAGGAGGACTCGAACAGTGTCTTCCGAGTGACGATAGAGTTAGCACCTCTTACGCTGTGACCCTGTATTCATAAAAAGTAAATCAAGTAGGACAAGTGTTAACTCAACCTCTACAAATGTTAGAGAACTGTTTAGTCATCTATAGGTGTTTACCTATGTACATCAGAGAAACTCCAGACCGGCTAACTTTCCCTTTTTATCCCTTACTCATCCTTATCGCCCTATTGCTCACTTGAACGCCGAGCTTCCCTGCATCATCCTCTCTTAACCTTCGATCTGTGGACAACCCCCACTTATTTCCTAATTCAGATATAAATATTGCCCATCATCCCAAATGTCGAGTTAGTCTTCCTCTAGTAGTCAGTTGGAGTCACATTGTTAAAAAGATCTGGTACGTACTCGGCCGCATTGTTACACTCAGAATTCGCCTGTAAGTTGTAACGAAAATAGACGTACTTGTGTTTCTTATCCATTACCACACACCCTACATTGGTGACCCCGACGTGATCGACAGTGAAAATACAGTGCGTTAGAGGTAAACGAGAGAAAGTTGACCAATCACCAAGATCGTCAGTGGAAAATACGATAGCCAGTGAGTTCCCAGAGATCTACCGGATCGAGATCCGTATTCCGCCATTCTGGTTGGGGTGCCCCAGGACTTGGTTCAAACAGGTCGAAGCCCAGTTCGCAATGAATGGGATCACTTTCGATACGACTAAATTTAATTATATGATGTCGCAACTAGAGCCCAAGTACGCGGAATAATTGGATGACATATTCGACAATTCTTCGGAGCGGGAGAGGTACGAGACACTGACAGAGCGAGCTGATTTACCGGTTAACGGCATCACAAAGCAACAAAACCCGACAGCTACTGGGGCAAACGGAAATAGGAGATCGCACGTCATCACAATTCTTACTACACATGCGCGACCTGGCAGGAACCACGGTTTTCGACGAGTTCCTACGCACACTGTGATCCGACAGCCATAATACGTGCCATAGTGATTTCGCAACCAGACTTGCCGCTTAATAAACTAGCGGAAATAACCGACCAGCTCCATGCTGAAGGAATCGGGTAACTAACAGTCGCGAGCATCGAGGTACACTTCGGGACAAAAAGATAGCATACCTTATATTTTCCCATATTTTATGTTAAAAACTGAATAAAATACATAGCCTCATTTATTGGTAACTCGGAGCATGTCTGTATATCCAATGTACGCACTGTGACACCTGCGATAACAACGATAGCGACGCATCCTGTCTGGACGGCCCGATGGAAACCCAACGACACCAGCGCAAACCAGATACTGCTGACTCGAGAACTCCCATCCTAAGATTATAAGCATTATAAAAGACCTTTGAAATTTGGAATAAAGTAGTCGTGAACTTGAACTGAAACCATCTGTGTCTCTAACTTTTGTTCAACCATTACCTATATCGAATCTACGACATATTAATAACGTGATCATTTTATTCTTCGTTACAACCAAAAGCTAATCTATTTCAGGCAGTTTAACTCTTGACAAATATTCATACTAAATAATTCCTAAAATTTACCTCACGAGTAGAGAATCTTGAATTACATTCAAATCACGTTATTATTATTATTATTTTATCTGTCGCGAGCATTTTCCCGTGACAGAACTATCGTCCACAACATATGCTGCGACGGGATTCCAACACAAAGAATGTAAATATTATTGTTCGCAATCTACACTTCCCAGCTATACTGAAGCTCCCGAGTTGTGAACATCGACCTCGGAACGTAGTTAATAAAGTCTGTGATATTATCTTATGTTGTATATCTGTTAAAAAAAGCGGAATTATTATTAAAAATGAGTCGTGGAAAGACATTGAAGGCGTGTGAACTTCGTATTATTCTCAAATTGAAAGAAGAACAATATTCAGTGACAAAAATAGCAAAAATTATGAATAGAAGTCGAAAAGTAATAACAAATTTCTTGAAAAATCCGAAAGCCTGTGGTAAAAAGAAGAGTTCCGGGCGTCCGGAAAGTCTACTGCCTGGGAAAAACGTGCAATACTAAGAGTAGCATCAAATTCTAAGATGATTGCAAGACAAATTGCTCAAAGTGTTGGTGTAGACACTACTATAAAGAATGTGAGACGTGTTTTACAAAAATGCAAATACATAATACGAAGAAAATTGAAGAAGAAGCCTTGGTTAACTGTGCAACATAGGATCAGTCGTTTACAGTTTGCGGAAAAGCACATTCATATGCGGAAGAAATGGCGAAGAGTAATATTTACGGATGAAAAGAGGTTCAACTTAAATGGGCTTGATGGTTTGAATTACTATTTTCACGATATGCGTAAGGAGGAACAGTTGGCAAATGGGAGGTGGTGGTGTGATGATTTGGTGCGGTATCGGTACTATGGTAAAATGAAAATGGAATTTATAACAGGAAAAATGAATAGCAAAATGTATTTGGAAATGATCAAGGGACAAATAAACACGTTCGCCACCAGAATTGCTGAAGAGAAGTATATTTTTGAGCAGGATAATGCCGCAATACACATTGCGAAAGTAGTAAAACTTTTAGTAAAACCCCAGAAAAAATTCGCGTTTTGGATTCGCCAGCAGGGTCACCCGACCTTAGCATTATTGAAAATTGTTGGGGAAATCTTTCCGAGCTGTATATGCAAATGGCAGGCAATTTGGAAACATTGCCGAATTAAAAAAATGTATTTAAGATGAATGGAAACAAATAGAGCAAAAAAGCTATTAAAAAGCACTTTAAATCCTTGCCAAAGAGAATGGTGGCTGTTATTAAATGTAAAGGAGGAGCCAAAAAATATTGAACAGTAAATTCCATTTCTTGATTTACTGCTGTATATAAATTCTTAGTTAAATGTGTAATCATTTTGTCCCACTATATTTCCCTAAAAATTCTTTTTTTTTCCATAAAATTGTATCGGCACAAGGTAGCGACACTAAAACACGTTTACAGCTCATAACTGGCTACCTTGATTATATAAACTCAAGACTTTTGAATCATTTTATACCCAGTGAAGAAATTTGCGTCGACGAATCTGTCGTAAAATTCAAAGATCGAATTTCATTTATTACATATAACCCACAGAAACCGACTAAATGGGGCATTCGAGTTTATATACTGGCAGATTTCAATACGGGTTATATTTGTAGAATTTAATTTTACTATGGCAGCCTTACAACAGAGACATTGATAAGACCGGACCTTTCAGTATCAACAAGAATCCCCTTACACTTATATACAATGTTATTGAATAAAGTTTCAGATGCGCAGGGATATCGCATGTTTACAGATCGATATTACACTAGTTACATTTTAGTTAATGAATTATATAAACTGAAGTGTCATTTGACTGGGACAATACTAACTAATAGAAAAGAGTTTCCAGATGGAATAAAAAAAACGATCACTTTCAAAAGGAAAATCAATGGTAGCCTATCGTAGAAATAATAATGTGATTCTTGTGGGGATGTTTAGCTTTTAAGTTGGTATGAGTGAGAGGTGATGCGTGGTAACGACTGAATGTGGATGGTTGGTAAAA